TTTACATTTTTTTACATTTTATTTCAATGTTTAATTTTTTTTTTTAATTTTTTTTTTTAGTACTTCAACTTTAACAAATGAGAAATGTTAGCAGAAAATAAGTTTAGGGTTTTTATATCATTTTTTTTAATGGTTTTAGTTTTAGCTAATGGTAAAATCCCTGTCCTGTAAATGCTGAACTTGAGCACACATTCGAGTGTAGATCACATGAATGTGTTGGTTGTGTAACTCGTGAAAGACGTCCATTCTCACTGGTCTGTCTCCAGCTGTCATGAGCGCCGCTGGAGCTGTGACTGGCTGCTGGAAACTCAACTGCATCAGCTTCATCAGGGTCTCTGGCATCTGTCAGCAGGAGCTCCTGGAAACATTAACAGAGCTTTCAAGAAGAATTTATTACGTCACTCCCAGTAAGTCCTTTCATTTTCATAAGTTCAAGACTAACCGTGTTTGCTCGGTAACGACAGGATGAGCTAAATATAAAAGTTTAATGCAGATTTGAAGTGTTTTATATGTTGTGTTTAATCAACTTTGCAGAATGTTTTTTTTTATGGTCTCATTGATTAATAGCTGGACATTTAAAGCAAAATCACACAAGATTGCGCCATTCCAGAGCAGAACTACTGACACAGCAGCATGAGACTGATGGTGATTTCCTCAAACCAGCCGTGGCTTTTATTGTCGGTTGTTGTAGTAGACAGACAGCATGCTGATCACATGCCTTCTGGTTTGTCAAAAAGTGCATTTTTGTGAACTTTTCTTTTAATACCATTAATGTTGACTTTTAATTAACATTATTGTTGTGCCTAAAAGTCAAGCTAAATCGAAACACTTATAATTATGAAAAAAGCTGTCAGTGTTTTATTTCTTTTTTTCTTTCTTTCTTTTCTCACACCACTTTCAAAAATAAACTTTAGGTCAATGAAGAACATTAACATTAAAGGAATAGTTCACCTTCAGTTGCTGGTCCCCATTGGCTTGCATAGTGTGTTTTTTTTCCTCTCCATACTATGAAAGTCAATGGGGACCAGCAACTGAAGGTGAACTATCCCTTTAACTCTGAACACATATGGGTCAACAACCTTACGGACTGTACAAGACCAACACATGCATTTAGCATTCCAGGACAGCACCATTATTCTGTATATTCTATTTGTCAGATGCTTTTATTCAAAGGACTTGCATTGGTTTTCAAGGCATACATTTTTTTTCATGCATTTGCTGGGAATTAAATCCATAATCTTGGCATTGCTGGCGTTATGATCTACAGTTTGTCTTATAGGAATGTCAATGGATAAAGTTGACAAGTGTGAATGAAGTGTGAATGAGAGTCCAAACAGCTGATAAAAAATGAACTTTTCTTTTAATACCATTAATGTTGACTTTTAATTGACATTATTGTTGTGCCTAAAAGTCAAGCTAAATCGAAACACTTATAATTATGAAATAACCTGTCAGTGTTTTCTTTCTTTCTTTCTTTCTTTCTTTCTTTCTTTCTTTCTTTCTTTCTTTCTTTCTTTCTTTCTTTCTTTCTTTCTTTCTTTCTTTCTTTTCTCACACCACTTTCAAAAATAAACTTTAGGTCCATGAAGAACATTAACATTAAAGGAATAGTTCACCTTCAGTTGCTGGTCCCCATTGGCTTGCATAGTGTGTTTTTTTTCCTCTCCATACTATTAAAATCAATGGGGACCAGCAACTGAAGGTGAACTATCCCTTTAAGATTTCAAGATTTCTAGTTGTCACATACATGGTTACACACAGGATACAACTGAAATGTAAACCTGGTCAGCATTTGTGCATTAGATACACATAGTAGGTTAAAAAAAAAAAGAAAAGGTAACGGCAAAATCAACTGAATCTTTCCATTGAACATTGCAAAAAAAAAAATGCTTTGTTGGTTCTTTACATATCCCCAAAATATCAAATGTTAAAAAGCTCTGTGTCTCTTGTTCCTGCAGCAGATGTCGTCGTGCGGCTCGTGTTTCTGGGCCATCGTCTGGCTGCTGGTGCTGCTGGTTCTCGGCTGGCCCTTGAGCATTATGCTGGGGGGTAGGTTAAAAAAAAGAAAGAAAAGGTAACGGCAAAATCAACTGAATCTTTCCATTGAACATTGCAAAAAAAAAAATGCTTTGTTGGTTCTTTACATATCCCCAAAATATCAAATGTTAAAAAGCTCTGTGTCTCTTGTTCCTGCAGCAGATGTCGTCGTGCGGCTCGTGTTTCTGGGCCATCGTCTGGCTGCTGGTGCTGCTGGTTCTCGGCTGGCCCTTGAGCATTATGCTGGGGGGTCTGTACGGCCTCATCGCCCCTCTCACCGTCTGCGTGGGTCTGGACCGGCTGGCCGACCTGCTGATGGAGGGGGCCAATCTGGGCCGAAAGTGTGCCCAGAACATGAGGCACGGCAAAGCACTGTGCTGAGACCACGAGCCCCTCAGCTCACCGCCAAGAAGAGTCCACAGTTTCCCCATCTTTTCACTTAAGCAGTGTTAATTATCAACACGAACCGTTTTAGACAGTTTACTGTGCATTTGATTCTTTGACTAGAACGCTTCCATAAAGCCTTAGCGAAACTTCCTCTCTGTATCTGTATCTCTTAGGCTATGGAAATGTTGCTATTTTAAAATCCCGTGGCAGGTTATGGGACATGTTTAGTCTCATGTCTGAAGAATCAGAGCCCTCTTTTATCTGGAGGTTCAGGATATGAGAGGAAATGTGAGTTCACACTGGATTGTGCTGCGTTTGGATGGAGGCAGTAACTGGAGACTGAGGTGTCAGATTAGTGAGACTTCAGGAACCGTGAGGAACTGCAGAGCCACACAATGTAACCAGAGAAACCTTCAGAGCTCCAGCAGCTCATTCAGTGCTGCCCTCTGCAGGACCAGAGTCACACATCTCTCTGTCTGTCTGTCTGCCTATTTCTCTATCTGTCTCTCTCTCTCTCTGTGTCTGTCTTTCCGTCCGTCCGTTTGTCTGTCTGCCTATTTCTCTCTGTCTGTATGTATGTCTGTATGCATGTCTGCCTATTTCTCTATCTGTCTCTCTCTCTCTGTGTGTGTGTGTGTGTGGGTGTGTGTCTGTCTGTCTGTCTGCCTATTTCTCTCTGTCTGTATGTATGTCTGTATGCGTGTCTGCCTATTTCTCTATCTGTCTCTCTCTCTCTGTGTGTGTGTGTGTGTGGGTGTGTGTCTGTCTGTCTGTCTGCCTATTTCTCTATCTGTCTCTCTCTCTCTGTGTGTGTGTGTGTGTGGGTGTGTGTCTGTCTGTGTGTGTGTGTGTGTGTGTCTGTCTGTCTGTCTGTCTGTCTGTCTGTCTGCCTATTTCTCTCTGTCTGTATGTATGCATGTCTGTATGTCTGCCTATTTCTCTGTCTGTCTGTATGTATGTCCATCCCGTCCACCCCTCTATCTATCTGTATGCACGTACGTACGTCCATCCCCGCACTCTTTTTGCTACTATTGAGAGACTGACAAACCCCCCCAAGTCAGATTCCCAGTGAAATGTGGAAATGTTGCTATTTTAAAATCCCGTGGCAGGTTATGGGACATGTTTAGTCTCATGTCTGAAGAATCAGAGCCCTCTTTTATCTGGAGGTTCAGGACATGAGAGGAAATGTGAGTTCACACTGGATTGTGCTGCGTTTGGATGGAGGCAGTAACTGGAGACTGAGGTGTCAGATTAGTGAGACTTCAGGAACCGTGAGGAACTGCAGAGCCACACAATGTAACCAGAGAAACCTTCAGAGCTCCAGCAGCTCATTCAGTGCTGCCCTCTGCAGGACCAGAGTCACACATCTGTCTGTCTGTATGTCTGCCTATTTCTCTATCTGTCTCTCTCTCTCTCTGTCTGTCTGTCTGTCTGTCTGCCTATTTCTCTATCTGTCTCTCTCGCTCTCTGTGTCTGTCTTTCCATCCGTCCGTCTGTCTGTCTGCCTATTTCTCTCTGTCTGTATGTATGTCTGTATGCATGTCTGCCTATTTCTCTATCTGTCTCTCTCTCTGTGTGTGTGTGTGTGTGTGTGTGTGTGTGTCTGTCTGCCTATTTCTCTCTGTCTGTATGTATGCATGTCTGTATGTCTGCCTATTTCTCTGTCTGTCTGTATGTATGTCCATCCCATCCACCCCTCTATCTATCTGTATGCACGTACGTACGTCCATCCCCGCACTCTTTTTGCTACTATTGAGAGACTGACAAACCCCCCCCAAGTCAGATTCCCAGTGAAATGCTCTCCGACAGCAAATGCAATGAGTTTCACTGGGTTGGGCTTTCTGGGATGGTATTCAGGTCATACTTAGAAGGGTCATACTTAGAAGGGAGAGGTTATTATGTGAGTATAGGAGAGCATAAGTCTAAGTGGACGTCCGGTTACCGCCTATTTCACCCATTCAAATAACATAGAAAATAAAATAAAATGAAACACACACGCACACACACATATATAAAACATGTACATAACACATTTGTAAAATATCACAATATTGAACGACAGTGAAAGGTGACTGAGATGCATCGTTCATTGGTTGCGAACGCATCTGTATTTATTTAGCTCCCTTAACAACCCACTCTCATTAGTAAACCTGCCACACACACATGTATTTTTATTGCTTTATGTAAAGCCACCTTTTGAGGCAAAGTGATGCTTTTTGCCAACTGTGCGCAAAAAAATAAAAAAACATTAATTTATACACAATAGAAAACATATGCCAAAACATGTTACGTAGTATGTGTGTATATAAAATATAAAGGAGCATGTTTTAGATGAAACTAAAATAATAGCATTCAGTGGTTGAGAATGCACCACATTTTCAGCACTAGGCATCATCCTACCCTTATTAGTGAATTTTCCTCATATATTTGTGTTTGTTTTGTATCTTATTTAATGTAATGTTGGGAGGTGTGATGGTTTGTGAAACACTGTGCTCAAAATCGCAAAAATACAGTATCAAGCGTGACATAGCAAGTGCTATCTGCATAATCCATATGCAGCATTCAGTGATAGTGAAATGAAGCGCAGCCGGTTTCAGCACCGGACAGCTCCCTGCAGCTCAAGCTCGTATATTGACACATTTATTTTTCGGTGTGCTTTTTTTTTAGGATCCTGCTCACTGTGGTGGTGATCTTCCGGATCCTAATCGTAGCTATAGTGGGAGAGACAGTGTATGACGACGAGCAGACCATGTTTGTCTGTAACGCCTTACAGCCGGGCTGCATACAGGCGTGCTACGACAAAGCTTTCCCCATATCTCACATCAGATATTGGGTGTTCCAGATCATAATGGTCTGCACGCCGAGTCTCTGCTTCATCACGTACTCGGTCCATCAGTCGGCCAAGCAAAAGGAGCGACGTTACTCCACCGCCACCGTCCTCCTCTCTCTGGATAATAAGGAGCAGGATTCCCTGAAACGAGAGGAGGCCAAGAACCAAAAGATCAAGAACACCATCATGAACGGAGTACTGCAGAACACGGAGAACACCACCAAAGAAGCCGAGCCCGACTGCCTAGAGACCAAAGAACTGACCAGCTCGGGCACAAAACCGGGCAAGTCCAAAATGAGGCGGCAGGAGGGCATTTCCAGGTTTTACATCATCCAGGTGGTGTTCAGAAATGCTCTGGAAATCGGCTTTCTGGTGGGCCAGTATTTCTTGTACGGATTCAACGTGCCCGCCGTGTACGAGTGTGATCGATACCCGTGCATCAAAGAGGTGGAGTGTTACGTGTCCAGACCCACGGAGAAAACCGTGTTCCTCGTCTTCATGTTCGCGGTCAGTGGCTTTTGCGTGGTCCTCAATCTGGCCGAGCTCAATCACTTGGGCTGGAGGAAGATCAAAACGGCCGTGAGGGGCGTGCGGGCCCGCAGGAAGTCCATCTACGAGATCCGGAACAAGGATTTGCCCAGGATGAGTATGCCCAATTTCGGCCGCACTCAGTCCAGTGACTCCGCTTATGTGTAACGGGTGCGTAACGAGAACCCGAAGCCCGCGCGACGCCGAGTTCAAGACCGCGGATGAGTCCCGTCACCACGTAAGGTTCATGAATTGCAAGAACACGGGGTAGGACTTTTTTGTTACTGTTTTAAAGACTCCATTGGCAACTGTGGACGACAAACACGTTTGTAAAGCAGTTCACTACTGTATAATGCAACTTTTTATGCAACGTTTGTACTCTGAGACGTACACAAAGAGCAAATGCTGATACCTGAATGCGTAATGCCTCTCTGTAAGCTGCGGTGACACTTGACATGACACTGTCCTGTTGCACACAATGCATGCAATATGATTCATTACAGTAAACTACAAGCAGCTCCACGACAACTGCTGTGACATGTGAAGTGTGACCGAACCAGCTGCTCTACTGTACTTGAAGGGAGTAAATGCGTCTTGCACTAAAAAGTGAACGTGATGCTGACATAATATCGCACATCGGGAGTCTCGACACACCATTCATGTATCAAACACTATCACTTCTGCTATGGTTTCTTTCTTTTTGGTTGCCTGTACCGCACCATTGACCTTAACGTAAGCTATGTGATGAACTCCACTGCGAATCGTGTGTGTGTGTGTGTGTGTGTGCGTGAGCAGGGGTGAATTTGCTGCAAACGCTTAAAGTCTGTGATGATTTCCTTAATTTCAACACCAAAGCGCCCTCTGCTTTCATTTGTGACATCGCGCTTAAGTGTAATCAGGTGCCATACTTGTATATAAATATATGCATATATACATATAAAATCTATTCTGAAGAATATAACCATATCCATAAAGCAGATTTATTGCTTGAATTATGCTTAATGCGTCCAGACTTGCTTTTAGCTCTATTCGTTGTAAATTAACTGAAAATGACAGAACAATGGTTCAGCAATGTTTTGTGTTCTGGTGCTGGTTTTTCACCCAGCAGTTCCAGCAATATTTGTAAGCCGAATAGTTTGTTTTAGGATTCATGTACTATTAAAGCCCACGCCTGCTGTATCTCTTCCTCTCTTGATGACAATGCAAGTGTGTTTAAACAGGCGTGTGCTTTCATTATAAACTGGTTTAAGGCCCTGTTCAGAAGCAAATTGCGGTGCATTATTGTTTAATGCCTGATCATTAAGATGTCATTTTGTTTCTCCTCTTTGAATGGTTCTTTATGGTTATGCCACCATATATTTATGACAAGCAAATGCGTGCACAGAGAGGAGACGTTCTCTGCATTTCTGAGCTTGAAGGGAAAGTATTGCATGTTTAAGAACTTATATTCAAGAGAATCTGGACAATTTCAGGGGATGAAATCTATGCGGCGTTTGCTCGAGTATTGATATGTCACCCCACCCCCTGTATAGATTAAGAACTGACATGTTTTGAAGGTCACAGAGGATAAAGAACAGTTTGTGACAGACCGTCTCAGATCAAACCTGACGGGACGACCCTGGGGAGGACGGACATTTGGTGTCATGAGAAGGGATGGGAAAAATCTTCCCTTTTCTCTCAGTAATTCCTCTCTCCTTGGATAAGCATTCCAGGACTCCTGAGATTTTTACACCTTTGTGGTCCTTACCGAGAAACGAAAGACCAGAGCCGATGGACTGTACTGGACCTGACAGAGCAAAGCTTTAATAAAACATGAACTCGTATCTCTCTTGCCTTATATGTACTGCAGTCTCCCCTCCCTCACCGTCTCTCATTCTCTCCCGTGCATTTTCTGCAAGAGCCGACCTGGTGTTTTTACAGCTCCTCCTAAATGACAAAATGATTGGGTTATGTATGAATGTAATTCTGCATGCGGTGATGTGTCATACATCATGTGAGAGGTTAGGCATTCGCGTGTGCTGCAAACCCACAGACGGAGAGACTCTTGAGATGCATTGTGCACGCTGAGATGTCTCCACTGCAGTTAAAACCAACAAAACATGTCTTGTTTGCAGGCCTGAGATGACCAAACACGTTAGCATGGGTTGCCATTACTGCAGGTACACAAATCAAGAGATCAGTTTTTTCTGTTTTTAGGAGGCGATTCTCCTCGGAGCTCCATCATCTGAGAGCAAACGAGGGTATGAGCGTGTAATGTCGCAGTACCTCATATACATTGTAATTTTATCCTGATCAATTTGCATATTGATAAAAAGGGCCTTGCATGAAGTGAACGCAGAAAACGGCGGACTGTTCCTTTCTGAGCCTCCAGTCCTTGTGGTTTTGAGGATGGTACATGTGTAAACTGAATGAAATGAAGATGGATGATATACTGTGAATTAAATCCACTTCTTTACAAAGATGGTGATATAAGTGATGGGCCTGATCTTTTGTTTTCTTGCCGCACACACACACACACACACACACACACTCGTGCCACTCCTCTGAGATTTCATTGAACCGCAGTGTCCTGGAAGGGCTGCGCAGAAACTCTGCAATGCACAACTGCTCTCACCTGCACATCACTGAACATGGGCATTGGAAATCTCTTCAGTGTGTACGTTTTGTGTGTGTGTGTGTGTGTGTGTGTAGTTGGGATACGGAAAAGTAGCACAAATGTCAAAGAATGATCTTCTGTTAAACGGAGTGATGGGTCTGTATATTATTAGTGTATATTAGTGTTAGTCAAAGTATTGTGTAATTCATTTGATGTTGAGAGGTTTCCAAAGTAAACACAAAGAGCTATAAATAAAAAGTCTCATTTAAAATACACACCCATCTTATTATTGTTCATTTGTTAATTAATGACAAATATTTTTAGATGATCACTGACAAATTCTGGAAGTCATCAGCAGCATTTCATTTCACTACCCAGCAAATCAGCTCAGTTCTCCCATCAGAATCATCTGCATTTTATTATGGGAGATTATTCATTCATTTTGATTGTATAACATGAACAAATAATCAAACATGACAGTCCTTTTGTTCACATTCCTTCTTAATTATTATTATTTCTCACTCTTAAAAATAATGGTTCTTTATTGGCATTCATGGTACCATGAAGAACCTTTGACATCCACGGAATCTGTCCATTCCGCAAAATGTTCTTTATAATGGAAAAAAAAGGTTCCTTAGATGATTAAAATGCTATTCATTAAGAAAAAAAATGGTTCTTTTAAGAAGTGATCACTGAAAGGTTCTTTTGAGAACATTGGAATCACTGTAAATAAAAAACCTTTTTTTACCTTTATTTATAAGAGTGGTTATGTAAAATGAAGAGGTTATGTAAACATACCCCAAAATGACTGATACATAGTTTGCTAACACTATAATCCAAGAAAGCCAAAGGCCAACAAATATATGCAACATAAAGATGTTAGTTGATGTTTTATCCTTGTCGGAACATGACGAAAACACATTTTCATTGTGGATCAGTTCTGGATCACAGCTTCATGGCTTAACCTGGCCACATCTGACTCTAGTGTGATGAAAGCAATTACTCTGAGAGCTTCAACACACACACACACACACACAGGTTTACATTTGTGAAAAGTGGGGACTCTCCATAGGCGTAATGGTTTTTATACTGTACAGACCGTATATTCTATTGCCCTACACCAACCCTACCCCTAAACCTACCCCTCACAGGAGACTTTCTGCTATTTCAGATTTTCAATACACTCCATTCTGTGTGATTTATAAGCGTTTTGAAAAGTGGGGACATGGGGTAATGTCCTGAAAAGTCACCTTCTCCTTGTAATACCTGTCATACCTTTGTCATTATACAAATTTATGTCCTCATTTGTCACAAAAACACGTACACGCACGCACGCACACACACACACACACACGCACACGCACACATACACACACGCGCCTGCCCAGAAAGGTGATGCCTGTCAATCTGTTCTAACAGTAACAATGGAAACATTTGATTAAGTGAAAACTATATGGGTTATCTATTGGCTGTAGCAGTATCTTCATCTGAGCAATTCAATCCCACAATGCTTTAATGATTGTGATCAGACACAATGATTGGTAAAAGATGCACACTAATTCTATAATTAACATGTAATACTGAAAATCAAGCTGATAGTTTTCAATTAGAGCCTGCTGAATTGACAAATCAATAATTTCCTTTGATGCCATCTGTAATTTGTTGTCTCTCTGTTATCTCTGTTATCTCTGCTGTCAGGTGAGGCGAGCAGCCCTCTTAGCAAGACCAATTGTTCCTGATAAATGTATACGATATGCACCATTTGCCAGCCAATAAAACTCACCGGATGACCAACTCTAATCACTAAAAAAGCTATTCTCTGCCTAACAAGATTAGAGCCGGCCAAACAGACTGAGCAAGTGAAAAAGAGAAAGTGGTAATGGCAAATGGAAGAGAAAATGAGGAAAGAGGTAAAGAAACAATAAGTGTAAGAGTTTGAAGCCAGCTTGAAGAAGACCCTTGGCATTTTGTCGCTGGTTGACACAGGGTTCATTTATGGTTCAGAACTGGATTCTGTCACAAAAATGGGAAGAATCTTCTATGTACTTACATTTCAATTAAACAATATATACAATGTACTTATTTTGTATGTTTTTACATTGTACTAATATTTTAAAATGACCTGCATGTAATTACATCTGTAATTGATTTCTGTAGTTATCTATAATAAACTCTGTTGACCCTCCCTGTACACTTTAACCAACTCTTAAACCTAACCGTACCACCAAACTTCTGAGATAAGTATATAGTAGTAAAAGGCACCTAATATAAAGTGGGACACACAGTGTAACATGAATGTTTGTCCTGTTGAGTTTATTGATTTTGTAAACAGATTTTTAGATTTTTAAGACATTAAAGTTGTCAAGATGATAATCTTTAAAAGACATTTAAAATACACTTTAAAAAGTGGTAATCTGCAATTGTTACCTTAAAGAGCTATTTCTACTTGATTCAACCCATCAAAATGAGCTTTGATGGTAAAAATTAATGTATAGAGGTTGATTAAGTGATGTTAAATAATATTTTTGACTTGACTAAAACCAGTGATTTTAGATGTTGCTGTTTTTAGGTTACCTTTCTTTCACTGTAATAGAGACGGAAGCCAGGTTTTGAAACACGTTTTGGAAGCTTGTGATAAATTATGATAAGTGTGAGTGACACAGGTTAACACAGTATTATTATAATTAATTATTAATCACACAATATTCACTGTTCAATCCCTAAATTATTACATTTGCACCATGGTTATTGCCAACTATCCCATAGACAACACTGAAAGTGTGTTTCACACCAAGGAATGTAATTTTTCATGAACTGTAAACCTAGCTGAATTATTATACCATTTGCACGCTGCTTATAAATGAGATGTTTCTTTAGGTCTGCTACACCTTCTCTCTATGATTCATCATCTATTTTGCACATACTCGCTCTCAATGAATCTATCTTGATCACATGGGAACACTAGAACAGGCCTTCATCATTGTATAGGGCTCTGGCTGTAGTAATAACACAGTATTCAAATGGCAGAAACACTCGATGCTGTTTTAACATCTGTTCTTTATCTCCCTTGTCATAAGAGTCCTGAGGTTGTTCAGTGGTGATATAAGCTTCTGTTAAACCTATCATGTTTATGAGTCAAATTCCTGTTGAAGAACTACACAACCCATAATCCTGGAGAGAGAGATGCACCATCAGTGTTCGCAAGGAAATGGAAATAATGGGAAATGTGCTTAGCGGTGGTTTCTCACCACCATCAAACACTGGAAATGATGTAATCAAGTGGGTCTTCCTACATTCTCATACGAATATTTTTGTATACAACTGAATTTACTGTAAGATATATTTTACTTACCTATAATCCAGTATGTCTATATTCTACCTAATTTTTCGAACTAATCTCATCATATGCAGTGCTACACAGCTTTGTACATCTTTTGTTACGTTTACGTTAAGAATTTGTTAAAAATGCTTCCTTTTTAGAACCTTTTAATCTATTACATTAAATTCTGATTATCATTCACTCCAAAAAATGTCGGATTTACTTTGAAACAGTTTTCACTCGCAAACTGCTAGTAGCCTACAAAAAAGGGCAAGTAACACACGGAATTAAACGTAAAATTGAATTTTCTTGTAAAACATACTCCGCTAATCATTGAGTGTTGAAAATCATTGTAAATGTATTTGAGTCCGTATTGAGGTCTTCATTACATCAGAATGACCTAAAGCAGTATTTCTTCATGAGTTGATCAGGCAAGTAACACACGGAATTAAACGTAAAATTGAATTTTCTTGTAAAACATACTCCGCTAATCCTTGTATTATTTACAGTGTTGAAAATCATTGTAAATGTATTTGAGTCCGTATTGAGGTCTTCATTACATCAGAATGACCTAAAGCAGTATTTCTTCATGAGTTGATCTTGAGCTGTGTCACTGCTTCACAGAGGTCAGATGAGTTCTCTCTCAGAGCGAGCGCTGCAGTCACATGACGCTGAGGAACAGCTGCAGCGGGACGGGACAGGACGGGACGGGGATGTCCTCTGCAGCGCTGCAGGGCTGTGAGAGGAGACGCTGGGTGTGACTGCATGCATCACTCCTGGTGTGGAAAGTCTGCGTTCTACTAAATGCAACTGATTTTACTCTTAAAATAAATTTTTAATACAACAGTGTTACATTTATTTTGTATGTTACTTGACAAAACATTTTGGTAACACTTTACAATAAGGTTCCATTTGATAACATTAGTTAACTACATTAGTTACCATGAACTAATAATGGAAATGACTTCTACAGCATTTAATAATCTTTGTTAGTGTCAAGTTCAACATTTAATAATACACTTTTTAAAAGTATTTTTATTAACTAGCATTAACTTCTAGATTAATAAATCATTTTAAACACGTATTGATCATTGTTAGTTCGTGTTAGCCAATGCATTAATTAATGTTAACAAATGAGACCTTATTGTAAAATGTTACTGTATTATTTAATGGACCTAGTCTGACAGTGCATTTTTATTAATTGTATTTAACATTAACAAATATGAATAAATACTGTAACAAATGCATTGCCCATTGTTGGTTTATATTAGTTAATGCACAATTTAAAATTAACTAAAGAGTCATTATTGTAATGTGTTACCAACAGTAACATTTAAAACAGTCATTGTCTCCTTGCATTTCCCTTTATAAGCCAGAAATCATTTTAAGAGATGACGCTGGACTGAATTGTTTCCTCAGAGGAAAGCTAATAGGTGTCCAGTTTGGCACAGCAGTTTATGGCACCGAATGCTCTTCCCTCCTCTGCTATTGGATTGTGTTTTATGGTGTGATTCATTTCCCATCAGGCCTCCCTCCTCCCCGGCGGTTCAGGCTAGAATTTATGCAGGCCGCATCCCAGCGGCGGCGCTATCAATCACCTGCAACCCAGCACAGCCACATTCAACAAGAGCTGAGCTCCACGCTAACGCCACGCTAACCCTCTGAACGCCTGACGCCAGACTCACTTCTTTTTTTACATGCATTCTTTTAAACAAATGATTATTTCCGGCATGGATTTCCCCTGAGGACGCTGCTCACATCTGTGCCACAACCGCCATGAATATTTCAGAGAAAATGATCACTCGCTTTTGTCATTTTCGCTGCTCCCCTTTGAAAAATGTTTAAAGTGTACAAATATAGTATACCTTATTTTGAAGTGGAATACATAAAAGATTCAGAGTTA